ACTCAGCCTCACACCTTATAAAGGCAGCATTCCACCCTCCTGTTCTTACGCCTTCAGTCAATTGCAAATTCTTTTGATCCGGCCTCCCAAATGCCTCCTGTATCTGCCCCTTCTTTCAAGTCTTCCTGCTTTAATTCAGTCTCTTGTTACTTCTTGCCTGGAGCACTGTAAAATCCTCCTAACAGCCCAGGCCCATCCTGTTGTCCTGTACACCTCCCTGTGCCTGGGGTGTGCCTTTAGGGCACTCCACCAACCCTGCAGGTTTGTCATTTTTATGCTGATTTTTAAATTTTTTTATTTAATCACCTGCAGAAATATAGTGAAGTTTTTGTTGTGGAGTCTTATTGCATCATACCTAAATGAACGGAAGGATTTTCATGAAATGTAAAGGGTATGTTTACGACTGTAGGATTGAAAATGTAGCTCATAGAGTCTACCCTCAGGAGGGCATCTTAAAGGGGCAGCGATCTGGCCTTGCTTACATCTGGGAGGGAAGTGTGAGGGTTCTGCAAGGCGCCCACTTGGAAGCGACACAGCTAACAACATCCGCAGCGCATGAAAAAGACGGAAGTTTCCAATCTGAGCCCTAATCCCCTGTCTAAAGGCAGCTTGGCTTCGCCACAGCGCAGGGGCAGATTCGCAAGAGGTGCTGATTTTCTGTGGAGCCATTTTTCTCGGGGGCAACAGGATGCCTGTTTGCTGGGTGTTTCTCGCACTAAATTGGTGGGTGATTCCCTGGAGAGAAGAGCTCGGGTTAAAAATCTGACAGCGCCTCAGACGGGCTCTCACTGTCCCCCAGCAGCCTGTTGGTCTCCACCAGCCCTGTGCTCCCACCGCATTTGTTCTCTTATCTGGGTCTGCATTCCCTTCTTTAACTAGGGCTCAGGTGTCTTCCCAGCACCTCTAATTGTGGGTGTGCCCCGCCTCCATCAGGCTTCAGCTCAAAAGCCACTTCCTCTGTGAGACTTGCCAGAGGCTCCTGGGGTTGCTACTTTCCTCCTACATTACTTTCTACTCCTTGTTATCTGTCTTGTAATGTTGCCATTTGCCTGTATTTCTCCTCACCCCGACCCTGTAGGCACAAGAGGAGACACTCATCTTCGTGTCTCCTTGGTGCTTTGCGCATAAAGTAAATGATATTCTAAAAAACGATCTTAATTTAGTTTAGCCACTACTCCCAAGAGGAATAAAAATATCTCTTAGAAGGATCATGCAAGCCAACCTGTGCTGTGAATGGACCAGGATGGGACAGCAGAATGGGAAATAGAAAAATCTATTTGCTTTGGAGTTAATAAACAATTAGAAGATCATTGGCATGCTCAGGAAGTTTTGAATTTTGAAAAGCTACCAGAAATACTAGTTATAAAGACTAATCCTAATTCTTAATTCTTGGTTTTCTTAATCCTTAAATTCTTTGGTTATCCTAATACTTAAATTCTTAAATTTGCCTCTACTATATGAAAGGATAGCTCCTGGAGTAACTTGTCACAGTGCTCACCTATTTGGGGCACTATCTCTCAGACAGTATCAAAGCTTCAGCCAAGTTGTTGGCCTGGATCGAAGTGATTTTGAGTTACCTTGTAGACTCCAGTCGGTGGGATATCAGATTGCCTCCTGAGCAGCAGGCAGAAGGTCCTATCTACTAAGCACAAAACATTTGGACATTAAACCTTCTTTCTGGCAATGTGCCCGGGGTCAGAAATCTGCATTTTCAATACACCTCACCTGGGATTTCTCTGCACACATGGCCTGAGCTCCCCGTGCTCACTCGCTTCCCAATACACAGTCCTGCTGGGAAAAGAGCTTAGTCTTGGAATCTACTGGAAAAGAAGTCAAGAAAGCAGCACCTTGACCTGGGCAGCCTCTGACCGGTTACTGGAAGGTGTTTGTACTTCTCGTGGTGAAACTGAGAAGGGTATTTGTGTCGTGGTGGGCATAAGCACAGGTGAGCCATTTTCTAGAAGACTGTGAAGATCAGATGCCTAGAACGCGTCACAGGGACAGAATAACAAGGGCTGTTCTCAAATGGTTAAATTCTGACATTGATTCCCAGCCAAAACAAAAACAAAACCAAAACAAAATTCCTAAGGAAACTATAATTCCCTAGTCTGGAACTGACAGAATTAAAAAGAAAACAATTAAGCAAGGATTCTGTTCTTAAGGAATGAGGGGGAGGGTAAGAGATCAAACAAAATACCTGATCCTTTGAAAACAGGATATCAAGGCACTGCCACAGGCCTTCAGAAGAGAATGTAAAACAGAGGTGGGAAAGTGTGAGACACCAGGGGCCAGGGGAAGAGCAGAGAACCTGGATTCGAGCCTAGAGGAGAAAAGGAACTGTGTGGCCAAGAAGTCATCCCCACCCGAGATCCTTACCTGGAATGACTGCCATCAGCACCTTATTCTCCTAAATCCTGTGAAGAAGATGGTAGGGATAATTTGGGCTAATGTTTTGCACAGATAGAGACTGACACAGAGTTGGAATGAAGAACTTGGAACACCCAGTTTACAGAGCCCAAGTAGGCTTGCTTGGAAGCTTCCAATCTAAAGGTGAGATTCCTCCCCTGTGCTTTTCCTTTAGGGCATGCACCTTCAAATCTTACAGCATTCTAACGTGCGACTCGCCTCCTCTCTTACAGGCAGGTACACTTGGGTGGCTTTAGGTTTTATACAAGGAGAAGAGGGCACAAGATCCTGAAAAGTGCAGTGGATAAAGGAAGTGTGCATTAGATGCTTTATTCCATTACCTTTAAAACATCATGGTGGCTACAATTAAGAATAATGCACTGGGTATTTTTTTCAGAATCACCAAGAGTAGACTTTCCCATGGTGGGGACAAAATACCCAACAACCACCACTTAAGGAGGAGAAGTTTAACTTGGACTCACTGTTTCAGAGTTCTTAGTCTGAGGTAAGCTGGTTTCAGGGCAAGAACAGCATGATTGAAAGGTCTGGGGGAAGAAGATTACTCACTCCCAGCATTAGGAAGCAGGGCGCAGAGGAAGAATCCCAGAATACCAGGGCTCTACCTCCAGGTGTGAGGTAACAGCCCTTCCCACTGTGAGCATCAATGGGCTACCACACTCCTGCTGTCGCATCATGTGATCCAGTCATCCTCCCAGGAGTCTCTGAGTCCAGTCAAGTTGACAAATATAACCGTCATAAATGCCCAGACAACAACATATGATAAATATGGTTAAGGGAATGGGTACATAAATTGGCTTGATTTAATCTTTCTAGACAGCATGTATATACAAAAATATTATAATGTACCCCACCTACAAATGAAATTATTATTTATAAATTCAAATAAGATGTCAAAATAAGTTTAGGCAGTAGTGACCACTGATCTCATTGTATAAGATGGGAAAGTTAACTGTCTTATCAAAGGTGACCATGCTGGTCAGTTTGGAAGGGAACAATAAATTCAGTCTTTTTTTTTTTTTTTTTTTTTTTGAACTCCAAGTACAAATTTT